AACCCCCGTTTATATAGCATTTAGATAATGCAATATTGCGTTTAGGCTAATATTAGCCCGTTTAATAAACATATTATCCAATCCTGTTTGATAAGGCAATATTAGGCCCGTTTAGATAAGGCAATATTAGGCCCGTTAGAATAAGGCAATATCAGGCCTGTTGAGATGAGGCAATCTTAGGTCTGTTTAGATAAGGTAATATTAGGTCTGTTTTGATAAGACAACATTAGGCCCGTTTAGATAAGACAATATTAGGCCCGTTTAAGACAATATTAGGCCCTAAGGATAAGGCAATATTAGGCCTGTTTTGATAAGACAATATTAGGCCCTAAGGATAAGGCAATATTAGGCCTGTTTTGATAAGACAATATTAGGATCGTTTAGATAAGGCAATATTAGGCCCGTTTAGATAAGACAATATTAGGCCCCGTTTAGGATAAGACAATATTAGGCCCGTTTAGACAAGACAATATTAGGCCTTTTTAGGTAATATTATGTCTGTTTAGATAAGGTAATATTAGGACCGTTAGGATAAGACAATATTAGGCCTGTTTAGATAAGACAATATTAGGCCTGTTTAGATAAGGTAATATTAGGACCGTTAGGATAAGACAATAATCAATAAATAAGTTTTGTGAACGATTCAGGCCATTGGGGCCTCTTGTCTTAAAACATGATTCACTTATTTATTCTGACCTGGCAACAACCTGCAGTATAATGTGACAGATTTAGGAACTAATAAAAGATTGGTTCCATTGTCCCACAACAAACTTGTACCATAAAAAGATATACAAGACAGAGACACTATTCCAGCCTTATCTGATGATATTAGGAGAATTGCAGCCAGCTTCCCGCTCTATTTTCAATATTATTTTATGTTACATATTTAGGGGTATTATTTAAGACTTTGATTCCAGTTGAATGAACATGACCAGACATCGAACAAATGAAATTCAATCATGAGAGTGTATAATCTGAAATCAACAAGCTATGAAAAATTTAACAAATTTCCAATATCATATATATACATATACATTTATCCTCTCCTTGAATGCCAACTGTGAATAAACATAAAATTTATGATCACTTATTTTCAGCATTACTGATTATAAGTTTTCAGTAGTCTAAGGGAGATAACTCACATAAAAATGTATAAACTATATTGATAACTACAGTCTTGTATTATATTTTTACTTTATATCTGATGAAGTTTGATGTTGGTTTCTCACATTACCTTTAAATCAGTACCTTATTATCAATTCAATCTAGAACATTGATTCATAACATTTTAAAATAATAACAAACGTTTCCTTCTATAAGTAAATTGATGGCTGTCACCAACACTCATGGCATCTCCTGTGGTTCTGTGATTATCACATCTGGTGTGGTACTTCCCGTGGTATCGAATGCCACCACCACTCAGCATCTCCTGTGGTTCTGAAATTACTACATCTGGTGTGGGTCTTCTAGTGGTATATAATGTCACCACCATTCACATGGCACAATATGTGGTTCTGTAATAACAACATCTAGTAGGATGCTTCTCATGGCATCGAATATCACCACCACTCACATGGCACCTCCTTTGGTTCTGTAAATACCACATTTTGTGTGGTACCTCTCATGGTATCGAATGTCATCACCACTCAGATGACACCCCCTGTGGTTCTGTAATTCCCACATCTGGTGTGGTACATCTAGTCGTATCGAATGTCACCACTCAGATGACACCTCCTGTGGTTCTGTAATTCCCACATCTGGTGTGGTACATCTAGTCGTATCGAATGTCACCACTCAGATGACACCTCCTGTGGTTCTGTAATTATCACATCTGGTGTGGTACTTACAGTGGTATCGATTGTCACCACCGCTCACATGGCACCTCCTTTTATAATAAATTAGAAACAAGATGTAAAAATCTGTCATTATTTTACGGTGCCATTAAATAATGTAAATTTGAGCGAAATATTTTTGCTAGATGTTAGCTATAATGCATACCTGTAGCATCTTGTAGATCTTTGTTGATCATGTCCGGAGGGTGACAAAATATAGCGGTTACTCCCGCCGCTCGTTTCTTAAACAACTCAACTGGAATTTGATCTTCCTAGGGCCAGACCCATACGTCACACTCTGCCTTAAAACTCTGGGCTGACATGACCAGAGTGAGTCGATCACTAAAATATGATGATATTGTGAGAAAACAGGTCACTGACCTAACTATTGTTCTATCTGTATCAGTCGTTATACTGTTATCACTGTGGGTCCGTTAAATGACACTATTCTTTAATTGTAACCAACGGTACGGTAGGGTTATACGTTCGCTATCACCGGTGCAGTCAGGGTTTACACGGGTGTTTACTTTTGAAGCGACCGGATCCCGGTGAGTTGCCGAAAGACGTTCCGACCTCACTGCGCATATGACATAGGTTTGGCCAATCAAAATGGATAAGCGGTGCAGGGATGGAGGTTGCATGTTGGACCATGGACTGGGTTATAATAAGGACTGCACAGTGATAAATGGGGACTAGCATGGTCGGATACACAGCCAACAATTAGGAGAGGAAATCATCTCCACTACCAGGCTCCGATAACGGTTGTCGCCAGGTACTGATAAGTAGTACCACACGTGTGCTGACAACAGTACACCAACGTTATATAATTTAGGTACGTTATCTGAACGAGATCTGTTGTCGTGGGTCGTTGTTATAGGCTTGATTGGTCACCACGTGGGGCTATTATAAGAGTAGTGTTCGAACATTAACGTTCGGATTTACTCTATACTCACAGGAACTTTATCTTACTGTTTATGTAGACATGTCTGCCACGACTTAACTTACCTAACTTTACCTTAAGTTTGTTTTGGTTTGTAACTTGTACACTCCACATCTTACACACTTGGAGAGTTAACCGAGACTGACTGCCGCAGTGGGGAGAGTTTGCGGGACTTGTCAGATGGTCTGTTTGTCGGTGGATTTGGGAAACTAACAAAAAACTATACGATCATGTATTTTCAACTGTTAAAGCCCCAGTACACGTAACATTCACCAAAAATTTAGTGTAGAATCACACATAATTATTGAGATATTCTCTAAGATGAAGTTAAAATTAAGTGATTCAAACAATAGTTACCATGACTTGTATTGATATATGAGCAGTTGAAACTCGCTATTTGTAAACACACCTCCATTTTAAACACGCCGCCATCGAAATAACGATTGTTGCCGAACCACGTCGAAAAGTTCATGACCTGATCTCGCGAGAGTTGAGGTTTCTACTTATAGAGGAAGCACATGCAGATATTTTTACGGTAAGTTTTTGTTTACAAACATTGTTTGCGAAGTCTTGTCGTAGACTTGAGGTATTCCTGTGATAAACATTCAGTTTTTGGAAATTATTAGAAGGAATAATTAGTTTGGAAAAGATACGACGCACAATTATAACGTAAAAATTCAGAACTGGCATGATGTATGATGTATGACCACGTCGTCTTTTCTTAGCTGTGTCTGCCATGTTTACACACGCGGAATATGTGCATGCGCAATGTCATCGCTACGAGCGGTAATGTATGAATTATTGTGGGTCCCACATTGTTTATTTTCCATTTTTTTTTCAATTTTTATTTAAATTGAAAACAGTTTTATTTTCTTTAATTAAAGGAAAGTATTTGTTTTGTTACATATATTACGAGGAAAATAAGATAATTCATAGTGATTTTTACTGGGGCGTTAACACTGAACGGGACTCGGTCTGCGGTGGCTCTAACATAATGTATTGCGTAAACAATCCAATGGACTAAATCAGATTGGATCACGTGATCACAATTTCTATATTTGGACATTGAGAACTTGTTAATGATAGTGTTATAGATGGGGTCTCTATTATATTGAATACGAACATCCAAGTAATACTCTTTAATCTTTGCTTCTCGTTGAAATTTCTCAGAAACATATAGCAGTCATAGACTCATCCGATTGACCAACCTACCTTCGTTAAAGCTGACAATGCAAAGTAAAAAGAATTCCATTCGAGTTTGAAAAAAAAAAAAAAAACCTTTCCCAAATGCTTCCTAGACAACCCTAAGACAACGATATCTTCCGGTCTGCCACTTAGATACGATGACCGGAAGATATCTTAGGGGGAGGTCTCGGTAACATTCTTTAAAAACATTTTTTTTTCTTTTTTCACTTATTTCAACATTGATTTTAAGCTGCATTGTCAGCTTTAAGTGTACGTGTTGCTGACAGAAAAGCTCGGTAAGTTCAGATATGAGGTCAGCACATCAGGGGTATTGCCTACTTTGATACCACGACCTCGACAGTGGGTGAGATTCCGTCCTAGCCCCTACGTTACAAAGAACTCGTATCACAGGTGTCGTGGTTAACTTTATGTAGTGATAATACAGTCTTCACCCTTGTAATCTAGCAATAATACAGGTCGGATGTTTCGACGTAGAAACACCTGATGTCTAGAAACATCTTATCGAATACGAATGAGAAGGGTAGAAGAGCGATTCCAACCTTTAACACGAAGTGCCATATGCATTGGATGTATCATCATTAGGCTTACATTAAAACATACGTTAACACTGAAGAATTAATTCAAAATAGCAAATGAGGCAAGAAAGGTTCTGCCTATCCAAACCAGACGAGGACGAAGCCTACAAACACACTACTAGTATTAGAGGAGATGATGATGTTCAGATGAATGTCATCCAGCTACTATGTGCATATTGAAGAACTTATCCAACTCGAAAGTCTTCAAGAAGCAGCTTCTGTCGTGAGCTTGTAGCTATAAAAATATGATTTTAAGAAAAATCATAGATCCATTCATTCTACTTAAGAATATAATTTGAAAAATTTGAAACGAAAATAGTTTTTTAATGTGACAATGCTAATAATGTACCAGAAAAAAAAGTATCTCAGGTGCTCATTATCTGAACACATACAATTACGTAAGGCTAGTACAAAATAACTTTGTAGTCATTGTTGCCATCTTTGGTATTACGCAACTGGGGACGGGAGATCTTCGCCTCGAATTCCCGCCATAATGTTCCTGGCTGTCAGACTGGCCATTCCATTTCTAGCCTTATAGCTGACACTTCCAATGTGGGGTGTCATTAGACAGTTCTTGAGGGAGTGTAGTGGATTATCTAGTGGAAGAGGTTCCGGGGTGGTGACATCAAGTGCAGCGCCATATATTTCACCAGTGGTCAGGGCCTCAATCAAATCATCCTGGTTGACTAGTACCCCTCGTGAAACGTTGATGAATATGGCTGGTTTCTTCATCTTTTTAAATGCAGCTTTGTTGAAAAGACCCCGATTGTTTGCATTGATCGAACAACATGCGATTACAAAATAAGAATTTTTCAGAAGTTTGTCAAATGAGACAAATTCTGCTTTTACTTCTTCTGCATATGACTTCTGACTATTCCCGGTGTACAGAAACTTAGCAACCTTGAACGCCTTGAGTCGCTTAGCAACAGCCATACCGATACGCCCCAATCCCACAATGCCAATGGTGGAGTCGGTGATCTCGTGTCCACTGAAAAATAATGCATTTTGCCAGGTTTCTTCCCCAGTCGTACAGTCGTACCGTGTACAAAAGAAACATGGCGTGACGTTTCTCAAACTACACATCTATTCTGTACTAAAAAGTAAAAAGAAAATACTAGATAGATAATCAAAGCATTTTTTAACCAGAAGAATTACGAAAGCGAAAATTCATATAGAGAATGAAATGTTATTGCCAGGAAGTAAATAGATATACTTACTACAACAGAAACAATGATATGTACTGTTACGCCAGTCACACCATGAAATATAACTCACAAAATATATCGAACTAACACGTAAGAAAATTGCCTTCTGTCAGTGACTTTAAGTTAGTAAGACATTCATATGATTTTAAGGTTTAAGTAGGAGGTGAGATGTAGACAAACTCGTCTATTTCATGTTTGTTATGTGTAAACACATTTGTTACTTTCACGGGTTTTGATCATGTCAAACTAAGAACTGGATTTATGTATACTCCACATACAGAAAACTAAAAGATTAGTATGAATTGAAAATGGCCACCATAAGGTGACAAATTTATTAGAAATTATAGGAAACATATGTAACTATTAACAAGATACATACAAATATTATAAAAAAAGTACAGTATTTATATCATTCTCACACTTAATATAAAGGTAGGGGTTCGGTAGAACAACGCCACAAAGTGACAAACATACTGTGTAAACAGTAATTTTTAAACTTCCCCACCAAAGTAGATTAAATTTAAATTAATTTGAGCAATTCTTCGAAAACAAAATGGCGCCAGTGAAATTTTTTCTCTAATGAAAGGTATCCCTTATGAGCCAGTCAGAAGGCTGGATTCCTAATGACGTCAATCGCTTAAATCTCAGCCAATCAATAACAAGCTTATATTAGGCTCCTAAGGGTTAACCTAAACAAGTAAGGGGCAACATACAGGACAATGGTTCTATATGTGTCGCCATATAAAATTAGCTATACATATAGCCAGCATTTATTGTGCGGATATTTTCCCGGATTTTCATTTCTTTGGTCGGTGTGACTGAAACAGACGTAAAATTAATAAACTGATAAACCGGAAAAAGGTTCTACTCCCCAAAGAGACATAAAAATATACCTTAATGACAATACATTAAAATAGGAAGAAACTATGCATTCCTTGTGTGGATAATGAAGCTTTCATGATTTTACCTTCCTTGAGTCAGAATGACGTATAATTTTCTGTTCTTGTAAAGCTGTGACGTTCACAATATACGCTCGTATTCCTAAAGTTTGCTGACAGAATACCCGCCTGCCTTTAGTCTACGATGTCTAAGAGAGAAAATCTACCTTTCTTACTACTAACGGTAGAATACATACCTTCCGTACGTCTATGTGGTACTAGAAGTATAATACATACCTTCCTTATGTCTATGTGGCACTGACAGTAGAATACATACCTTCCTTATGTCTATGTGGTACTAGAAGTATAATACATACCTTCCTTATGTCTATCATACCTTCCTTATGTCTATGTGGCACTGACAGTAGAATACATACCTTCCGTACGTCTATGTGGTACTAGAAGTATAATACATACCTTCCTTATGTCTATGTGGCACTGACAGTAGAATACATACCTTCCGTACGTCTATGTGGTACTAGAAGTATAATACATACCTTCCTTATGTCTATGTGACACTGACAGTAGAATACATACCTTCCTTATGTCTATGTGGCACTGACAGTAGAATACATACCTTCCTTATGTCTATGTGACACTGACAGTAGAATACATACCTTCCTTATGTCTATGTGGCACTGACAGTAGAATACATACCTTCCTGATGTCTATGAGGCACTGACAGTATAATACATACCTTCCTTATGTCTATTTGGCACTGACAGTAGAATACATACCTTCCTTATGTCTATGTGTCACTGATAGTAGAATACATACCTTCCTTATGTCTATGTGGCACTGACAGTAGAATACATACCTTCCTTATGTCTATTGTGGCACTTACAGTAGAATACATACCTTCCTTATGTCTATGTGGCACTGACAGTAGAAAACATGCCTTTCTTATGTCCATGTGGCACTGACAGTAGAATACATACCTTCCTTATGTCTATGTGGCACTGACAGTAGAATACATACCTTCCTTATGTCTATGTGGCACTGACAGTAGAATACATACCTTCCTTATGTCTATGTGGCAGTGACAGTAGAATACATACCTTCCTTATGTCTATGTGGCACCGACAGTAGAATACACACCTTCCTTATGTCTATGTGGCACTGACAGTAGAATACATACCTTCCATATATCTATGTGGCACTGACAGTAGAATACATACCTTCCTTATGTCTATGTGACACTGACAGTAGAATACATACCTTCCTTATGTCTATGTGGCACTGACAGTAGAATACATACCTTCCTTATGTCTATGTGGCACTGACAGTAGAATGCATACCTTCCTTATGTCTATGTGGCACTGACATTAGAATACATACCTTCCTTATGTCTATGTGGCACTGACAGTAGAATACATACCTTCCTTATGTCTATGTGGCACTGACAGTAGAATATATACCTTCCGTACGTCTATGTGGTACTAGAAGTATAATACATACCTTCCTTATGTCTATGTGGCAGTGACAGTAGAATACATACCTTCCTTATGTCTATGTGGCACTGATAGTAGAATACATACCTTCCTTATGTCTATGTGGCAGTGACAGTAGAATACATACCTTCCTTATGTCTATGTGGCACTGACAGTAGAATGCATACCTTCCTTATGTCTATGTAGCACTGCCAGTAGATTACATACCTTCCTTATGACTATGTGTCACTGACAGTAGAATACATACCTTCCTTATGTCTATGTGGCACTGACAGTAGAATACATACCTTCCTGATGTCTATGAGGCACTGACAGTATAATACATACCTTCCTTATGTCTATGTGGCACTGACAGTAGAATACATACCTTCCTTATGTCTATGTGTCACTGATAGTAGAATACATACCTTCCTTATGTCTATGTGGCACTGACAGTAGAATACATACCTTCCTTATGTCTATGTGGCACTGACAGTAGAATGCATACCTTCCTTATGTCTATGTGGCACTGACAGTAGAATACATACCTTCCTTACATCCATAAGGGGATATCCCTGTGTCAATATGACTTTTCAACAGGAGACATCTATGTATCTGTATTACTGTCCATCTGGGGACATCTCTGTGTCTGTATTATTGTCCATCCGGGGACACTTGTGTCAATATTACTTTCCAACAGGAGACATATATGTATATGTATTACTGTTCATCCGGGGACTTCTATATATCTGTTTTACTGTTCATCCGGGGACATCTATGCGTCTGTTTTACTGTGCATCCGGAGACATCTATGCGTCTGTTTTACTGTGCATCCGGGTACACTTCTGTGTCAATATTACTTTCCTACAGGAGACATCTCTATGTCTGTATTACTGTCCATCCGTCGACATCTCTGTGTCTGTATCGTTTTCCATTCGGGAACATCTATGTATCTGTATTACTGTCCATCCGGGGACACCTCTATGTTAATGTGACTTTCCAACAGGAGACATTTTTGCATCCTTATAAGTTTACAACCGGGGACGTCTATTTATCTATAAAAAGTTTACAACCAGAGACATCTATTTATCTATATAAGTTGACACCCAGCGACATCTATGTTTCCTTATAAGTTTACAGCCGGCTACATCTATTTATCTGTATAAGTTGACAACCGGGGACATCCATTTATCTATATAAGTTTACAACAGAAGACGTCTGTGTACCAGTATTATTTGTATTCATGCTGTACTTGGCCTGTACACGCTAAATCATGATGTACATGAATATCCTGTAATCATTATTTACATGGTCTGCAAACGTCTGTATCATGCTCGAACTTCAGATTGACGGTGCGCCCGCGTCGATCCCGCATAAATTTTGAAAATGACGCAAACTTCGTTTCCACAAGGGCCCGCTGACTCATGGGAAATATATGCTAAAACGGAAGTAGCTTGCGTTCCGCAAGTTTTCTGCGAATCTGTAAGATCATACAACCGAACAACACATTTTGCGGGGAATATGTGAGTTGTCATGGACAAATTCATTATAAAAAAAAAAGAAGAAGAATCGGTAAGTAAATATTTCGAATATGAGAAAAGTAGTGTTACTGTCAGTCACGTAATTGTAAAAAAGAATGACATTTGCATTATTATTATTATTTGGCTCGTGACGAGTCGACCCGGTCACAACAGTAGAGAAATGGGTCAGGGGTTTGGTGTAAAAATTGAAGTGTTAAACGATTAATTACAATGAGTGTTGAATGAAAACAGTCTGTAATCTAAACAAAAATTATATTTTACCGACATCACAGTATCAGAATTAAAGTATGTCACAATTATTTCTATTGAAAGTAAATTTGCCGTCAGCCAATGCCGGTTGTGTTTTGGGGCCCGAAATGGGGTAAAGACGTATCATGTATCTGTCGTTGCTCGGTAATTTTACAATGTTTAATTGGCATGGAAAGTAGGCATTTGAGTTATTGGAAACCCCAATGAATTTAATGGTATAATTTAATAGTCTGTCGGCCAAAATCAAACAGCAAATGTATAAAAGCTCTAATATTTTTTAGGTAATGTAACTGTCCCTCTAGACGATATTGATCATGATCCAAAAGAAACTGGGCCAGCGCGGGTTGACCAAGGTTCTAGTACCACAGAGCAAAAAGCTGAACGTGCTTTTAGTGTTCAAAACTACATCACCACAGCTAAAAGGGCAAGCATCTCCCCAGAGACATGTGACAAATTGATACGTGGTTGTGTGAGTGGATCTGAGCTGGGGAAGTTTGACTTTAGAAGGGCAGTCCAGCTGTGGGGGATTAAAAAACGAAGAACTACCTTCTCTGTTTGTAAAATGAATAAATAAAAAAATATGGACAAAGGTTAAAATTAGGTCTTTATTTATCATTCAGAATTGTTGGCCCATGGTTTTGAAAAATGACCCCTACTTTTTGGGCTAGATGGGCCCAATGACCCATGTAAATGCAAAATCATCTGAAGCTCTGATCACACACGAGGATTGTATCATATAGGATAATTATTGGACTTTTTTTCTGACAGTAGTTAACACGTGACTATTCTATAATGTACATAGTCGTTTTCTTTTGGATATTTCTAGTCTATTTCTAAAGGATAGTATAAGACTGATCAATGACTTTGAAATACAATTATTTGTCAGTCTGAATGTTCTAAACCGTGACGGGGCATTGCAATACAGCCCATTCGCCAAATCACCCCTTGAAAAGCAACACTGTACCAACTATGAGCTGACCAGATTTTCTATATAAACCTTTACTTCAGTGATACAAAATATTTCTTTGAGACGAATAAATGTCCTTGATATAACTCAGTCAATTAAATTTACACAAGTTCAAGTGACGGTATACTTGAATTTGTTCAACATTTTGAAACCATTCTTTTTCACTGAAACAGAAGTATTGATGTGATTGATTCCATAGCTTGATGCATTGGGATTTTAATTTAACTAACTCCTAAAGCTGATGAATTGAGTTGCTCATGAGACAAATTCAGTTTGTAAGCAGTCCATTCACTTTGTCTCAAGAGCATATCAATTCACCATCCCATGAAATCACAAGACAAAATATACTTAACCACAGTACAATAGATAGGGAATGATACCCAATGACCAAGGTCAACCCAAATAAAAAGAAAATACCATCATGGCAAAATAATTCAAACTCAAATTCAATTAAAACTAGTGCAAATGTGTACAATGGTTACATGAAGGCTCCTGAAAGTACAAATAAGACCAGGTATTCCTTAAGAGTAAGCGTCTTTCTGCTCCATCGAAAACATCTGCCATGTGACTTTCAGTATGTGTCAAGGTTATTTCCCTTCGCAAATTGTGTCTGCCTCGACGCCAGGAATATTCCAGCCGACCAACGTGGTTCTAGATATTTTTGTCATTGAAAAGAAGTGTAACTAGGTAAAGATGATTTAATGTTTCAGATATTGGCGGGTTTTATCCAAGAAAATTTTCACCTCAGTGTAATGGGTCTAGGCCTTTACGAAATTAAGATAACTCTTTTTCAGGATTTAACCGATTTGACTACTGCGTTTTTGAAATAAAAGTGATTTTTCGCAAACTGTGTTCATTTTATCTCAAAAGCACCATCATTAAATGCTTTTCAAATCGTCCTGAATCTGTGGTCCGTAAGTTGTCAATCCTGAAATAATTATTGTTTTCGGTATTTCTTACAAAGTACTTAATGGGTATTACCCGTTCAAATGAATTTTCCAGAAGAAACAAAACAGGGCTGTTGACATCATTATTAGAAAATAACACGCTACCACAGATGTAATTCGATTTTTATTTATTTATTTATTTATCTGTTTGTTCATTCATTTTTAGAAATCATTTTCGAGGATGAATGACATAATAAAGAAACCCATAGTCTGGTCAATGCTATGCATATGTGTAAAACCGGCAAAAATAGAGAAAATCGTTTACAATGAGCTGAAAACGGTCTTTAAAAGAAAAGAGTTCGTATTTATTGTCAAACACGCTTATTATACCGTTTACCAGTCACGTGACAAGCATTAAGAAACTTCACACCAATGCAAATGAACGACTAAATGAAGAATCTCAACGTTTGTTGTACTGTACAAATTGGATAAACATCTTTATCTGAGTTCTAAATGACTCCAGTTAATATGCAAGACTGACAAAAACATATAGAGACACTGTAATGAGGACAAGTACAAACAATATCGATATTGTTCTTTCCATTACAGCGGCTACAATTTTCCACTCTTCAGTTAAAGTCAAGAATTTTGTGTATTCCAGAGAGTTTTCTGGGTAATAATTCTTGATAATTGCATGGTGATTCCCAGTGTTGTCGGCGCTGACAACCTCCTGGTGTTCTCCGTCACAAGATTTAGCAGTTTCCTTGGAAACACTAGTCTTTTTCTGAAATGCAAAACCAACTTGTCGGTAAAACTGTTTGCCCATTTAAAATGCAGCAACTCGCTTAACAGAAATAGAGTGCCGCTATGGAGGAGATAGTACGGTCTGCCCAATGTAAACGAAGAAATGTATTAGTGAACCAATATGCATACAAGTATTAAAATGATATCATGCCCGTGATCGCCCACCGAAACGTATGGGTTAATACTACCATTATACAACATTTCAAGATCGTTAAACATAGACGAAACTGATGAAATGATATCTCAGATAAAATTATTGTGGCGAGTTGTATGAAACTGCTCTACCTCGATCCAAGATGCTTCGATACAAACGATTCTTACGATATAAGTAAAACATCAAGATTTTAATGCTGAAATATAAAGGACGATGGTTCTTCCAAAATATCTAAATAATTGGCCAAAAATGCTTGTTTATGATTACAAACTTATTAAGTTTTGACAACTTAAATAAATGAAAGTTTATCTCCGGACAATTTTAAATACGGAGTAAGAGGCCGAATGCCATTAACTCCTTCACGTAAAGTTGCATTGGAATGTCAAAAACAACTTCAATTAATATCTATAAAGCTTACCGAGTTTAAATGAGACATTTTGAAAACAAAGAGATATGGTGACACAGCTTCATGTCATGGTAGTGTTCTTTCATAATACGTTATGTCAACATTTCAGCAAGCGTATTAGAAGGAAAACAACGGGATGTTTAAAACTACCAATACACACACTTCCCCGCGTATAGAAAATAACCGATAGCACAAATCCAGATCCTTTGTGATCTTAACTCCTCCAAATGATTTCATTTCACAATGCAGGAAAATTTCGACAATTCAACACCATGTGTGAAGATAAAAAAAATCAGCCAAATTTAAAGAAATTAATCGAGAACGTTAAAGCTGAAAAATCCCCGTATGACTCAAATTCCCGTGTGACTCAAATCCCCGTATGATCCAATTTGAACAAAATATATCCTTACCAAGCTTTATGAGAGGTTTCATGTTTCTTGACAGTATGGAAGGTGTTGACTGATATCAAGAATCAGATGAATATAGTAGATATTGATATTTAGGCACGGAAAATAAATTTACCTTATTTGCCATTATAACACGAACAGATCTAGCCAGACAGCCCAGAAACAGTTTCCGTACCCATTCAGGCAACTCCTTCTCTCCCTGGTAGTGGATGTTTAAGACAATAATGGATGAAATACACACGAAAGCTACCAGTCCTTCCGTAATAGCAAAGTATTCCGCTGTAGATAAATGAAAGAAGTCCAAAGACGTGTTGTTAGATTTAAAGCATATAAAATGTATATTTACAATCAGTTTTGAACCTCAGATTCAAAGAAATAAAAAGAGGGATTAACTACAAGAATATTAGATAAGGTATCTGATCTACACGTGTCTCTCCTACTTACCTCAGGGAGAAAATGACCTTATGATATTGAATACCTAGAAAACATTCCGTCCATTTTTATGACGTATAAACGTTATACTAGACCAGAGGAAGCACACATTCCCTAATACACGTATAAGACATTAACGAATTCCTGGGTAATATGTTAAATTGTTGTGTTCTTTATACTTTGTGGTCTATAACTCTACTTGCGGGCTGAAATGGAGCTGATATCGCCTAAACCACGATTTCACATAAATATCTGATTTAGAGTAGAAGTGTACAATAATGTCAGCGGGACAGGTCTCTCTCGGCACAAAGACATCAACGGGAACTTGTTTCGTCCTTTAACTTACACTGGTGAATATGCATATTTTGAGAACGAAACGTGGTGGGATGGGCTTTACACGACAGGTTACTTCAGACATATATATACACCGATACTTTGATGACGTAATCGCAGACCGTTTTTTCAAGTTCTTGGTTATATCAATTTAACTTGCGGTTAAGTTTGGCCTTAATATGTATAATTATCTGGTGTAACTACGACTGTTAATCGTTTTTTGTACATTCAAGAACCAATTTTAATTAGAAAATGAAAGAAAAGGAACAATAATTCGGTGTTCCAGTGTTGTGACTAAAGTTTGTCCAATACGTGCATCCTAACGTAAACCAGCCAGTTCATGTAACAACAGCGATCGTCTTTTGTATTTTATTTACAAATCTTTCCTGTATTTATTTCATATGCACAGAAATGCCCAGACGTGCTACATGTTATAAAACTATTACCATATCGCGTATTACGTACCTGTATGATTGATTATCGCCTAATTACGAGTTTAAGGCGATTTTCCTCTAATTTCGTGCCATTCAATAGTTTTATCGGTTTAAGTTTTTATAGAACAATATTTACTGTTTAATTCTGTCAGAACTCAATCAAGTATAACAAGATCGGGATCATTTGTGTCTACCATCTACACTGATGTTCGGTGGTCTTTAATGATAATTCAAATGGCCCTTCAAAATAGCACTTTTTTGATGAATGGTTTTGAAGTTTTTCAGTAAAAGGAAAAATCGTGACAAATATTTTTTTTAGTATTTTTTTCAATATCTGCTTATAAAAAATACTTTGTGATGGCGTAGCTGACGTCTTTGTTCACAACATGAAAACTTTGACGTCATTTTTTACGACCCGATCAAAACGTTGACGTCATGTTGTTACGCCCCAATGAAAAAGTTGACGTCATTTTGTTACGCCCGATCAAAACGTTGACGTCATTTTGTTATTTGTCAATGTATTAGTTAAAAGAAATCATCGAATAGAATCCATTATAGATATTCAAATAATGCAATATGGGATTAAATTATAATGATTATCGTTTATTACTTTTTTATATTATTAACCGATTACAAAAAATGGCGTTAACTCTAGACATTAACCGCTTTCCTGTTTATTTGGATAAACCCCATATTTTAATCCTAATCGGGGATAGGGGGTGGTTTAAAGTTTTGCATTGTGTCCGTTCGTCCTTCGGTAACTCTGACCTCCTTTGACCTACATCAGAAGCAAAGTTTGTCCGGGCTCTATATCCCATACTGCTAGTCACTGAAACGTCATACTTCAAGTATGAGTACGCCCTCGTAAGAAGGTGCGTACAGTATCAAAAGTAGGTCTTTTTGACCTACATTTCGACATTTGACCTGTGTCAAGAGAAAGTTCGCCTTGGCTCTTTCTCCTTCGATAGTTGTTACTGGATCTCCTTACTAAGAACATGGGTTTAGCCTGGTGAGGTGGTTTGCCATGTATCAAACGGAGGGTACTCATTATTGCATAAATTTGAAATATGTGGGTGTGAATAAATGACGTATCAAATATCCTTTGGTTGCTCGTGCGGCGTTGTTTCGAAACAGAGATAACCGATTTACAAAAGTCATTTTCCCTAAACCCATTTGGCTTAGTGTATATGGCTGTGCAGGTAGTAAAACATGTTTCTGTTGCCTACAACGTATGGTGATAAAAGAAGAGTAATTATGTTTTATTAATCTTGTCAGTATAATTTGACCAGGTGAATTGGCACATGACATCCGAGTGATATTTATATCTGAGGGAACATATAATGCTTTTGTTTGTGATCCTATAACCGTGGATATTGTCGTCAAGTGAACCAACTATTCATTCCAACTACCTTTACTTCTTATCATTGTCTCTTGTCTCGTGGTATTCATGTGGAACGTCCGTCAAAGTTAGTAAAGCTGTATGCCATTCCCCAAAGACATTAAAATGGTATGGCATGTCCCCTGTATGTCGAGTGATGCTGAATATCATGCACAAGGACAGATTGGGCTATTTTTGTGGATAGGGTACCATGCTATTATTTCGCTATTTCAGTGTGATATCATTATAAAGTCGTTTGTCTGATGTCCAGTGATCCGTGTTACCATGTTCAGTGTGATACGGACTCAAGCAAATCATGTATAAGGCGATTAAAAAAATAAGTAGAGATTCAGAAATTACAAAACGTGTCCATAATTGACAAAAGACTCCTTATCCGATGAAATGGCGATGAGCGCTCGAACTAACCAACTTAGGCACCGATCGGTATATCAGGGGTGTTGTAATAAAACAACTTACTGACAACAATATACATGCTGACTTACCTATGAGAGGGACTGTCTCTGCTGATGGTGGCAAAGTGTTCGCCAACATTAGCTGAAACACAGCTAATGCAAGCATCAGGCTAACGGCGAAGGACAGCTTTTCCCCGGATTCCACCGGAACAATAAACACCCCTATGGTTAGAGCTATCACAAACATAGATGGCAGAATGAGATTAATTACATAAAAGTTGGGCTTTCTCTTCATCCGTATACTGTAGTTGAGAAACGGGAAAGGATCCTTACAACAGTCGAAGTATTTCTCTTCCCTTACAACATTAAAGTTTTCAACAATCCATTCCACATTAGGAACAAGGGTGGACAAATCACCTGTTGATCTCTTCGGGTGTATATCCATATCTAAACCGCTATACACCCAAGAACCAAAAGATAGAGGGCACATCTGTACATCAAACGGAAATGACGTAACATCCACAGTACATCGACTCGTGATAACAGCCTGGAAGTTAAAGGTTACACTTCCTGTGGAATTGACGTAAACACGGAAGTCTCGTTCTCGCCGGATGTCATCTGAAACACTTGAGAGTTATCTCACAATATGGCTACTGTTTGACAAGGACAGGGATTTAAACGCTAGAAAATGACAGATATCAACAGAAAAAGAAAGTACTATTTAGCTGTTGCGTATCATTCAAGTTTTGAGATGGAATGTTTGAGTATGTGTATAAATATCTATCGTAGCAGGAATACCGAACACCATCTATCACCTTCAAATGACTTGTCAATATAGCTTCAGAAATATTCAATTAAAGCTTCAGTAATACACAATGAGAGCAGCTTCAGAAATACTCAGCAATAGATTCAGAAATACTCAGCAATAGATTCAGAAGTACGTAATGATAGATTCAGAAACACTCGATGGTAACTTCAGAAATACTCAGCAATAAATTCAGAAATACTCGATGGTAACTTCAGAAATACTCAATGATAGATTCAGAAATACTCAATGATAGATTCAGAAATACTCAATGATAGATTCAGAAATACGTAATAATAGATTCAGAAATACTCAATGATAGATTCAGAAATACTCGATGATAGATTCAGAAATACTCAATGATAGATTCAGAAATACTTAATAATAGATTCAGAAATACTCAATGATAGATTCAGAAATACGTAATAATAGATTCAGAAATACGTAATAATAGATTCAGAAATACTCGATGGTAACTTCAGAAATACTCAATAATAGATTCAGAAATACTCGATGGTAACTTCAGAAATACTCAATGATAGATTCAGAAATACTCAATGATAGATTCAGAAATACTCAATGATAGATTCAGAAACACTTAATAATAGATTCAGAAATACTCAATGATAGATTCAGAAATACTCAATGATAGATTCAGAAATATTCAATGACAGATTCAGTAATACCCGATGAGAGTACTCAAAGTACATACGATCGTTAATTAGTCAATAAATTCTGATATATGCAAAAGCAAAAACTATTCCCCAACACTTTCCATCTACACTATCTGCTGGCGAATATGTATCTCACTACACTCAGTCATCACACATGGTCACGTCTGTACAAATCAAAGTTACTATCTCACTACACTCAGTCATCACACATGGTCACGTCTGTACAAATCACAGTTACTATCTCACTACACTCAGTCATCACACATGGTCACGTCTGTACAAATCACAGTTACTATCTCACTACACTCCCACACACATGGTCACGTCTGTACAAATCACAGTTACTATCTCACTACACTCAGTCATTACACATGGTCATATCTGTACAAATCACAGTTACTATCTCACTACACTCTCACACACATGGTCAAGTTTGTACAAATCACAGTTACTATCTCACTACACTCAGTCATCACATATGGGCAAGTCTGTACAAATCACAGTTACTATCTCACTACACTCAGTCATCACACATGGTCATATCTGTACAAATCACAGTTACTATCTCACTACACTCAGTCATCACACATGGTCACGTCTGTACAAATCACAGTTACTATCTCACTACACTCTCACACACATGGTCACGTCTGTACAAATCACAGTTACTATCTCACTACACTCAGTCATTACACATGGTCATATCTGTACAAATCACAGTTACTATCTCACTACACTCTCACACACATGGTCAAGTTTGTACAAATCACAGTTACTATCTCACTACACTCAGTCATCACATATGGGCAAGTCTGTACAAATCACAGTTACTATCTCACTACACTCAGTCATCACACATGGTCATATCTGTACAAATCACAGTTACTATCTCACTACACTCAGTCATCACACATGGTCACGTCTGTACAAATCACAGTTACTATCTCACTACACTCAGTCATTACACATGGTCATATCTGTACAAATCACAGTTACTATCTCACTACACTCAGTCATCACACATGGTCATATCTGTACAAATCACAGTTACTATCTCACTACACTCTCACACACATGGTCAAGTTTGTACAAATCACAGTTACTATCTCACTACACTCAGTCATCACATATGGGCAAGTCTGTACAAATCACAGTTACTATCTCACTACACTCAGTCATCACACATGGTCATATCTGTACAAATCACAGTTACTATCTCACTACACTCTCACACACATGGTCACGTCTGTACAAATCAAAGTTACTATCTCACTACACTCTCACACACATGGTCAAGTTTGTACAAATCACAGTTACTATCTCACTACACTCTCACACACATGGTCAAGTTTGTACAAATCACAGTTACTATCTCACTACACTCAGTCATCACATATGGGCAAGTCTATACAAATCACAGTTACTATCTCACTACACTCAGTCATCACACATGGAATAAAGAATGTGATATCACTTTGTAGGGGTGTGATATCACTTTCTAGGTGGTAAAATATCACTTTCTAGAGGTTATGATATCAGGGGATGTGATATTACCCGGGCTGATATATCAACTTGTGGAAATTTCAAGCTCATCACACATACAAAACAGTGTTATTAGTCGTAAACATACGATACTAGGCATCTCCCGTCAAAAACGGTTGATAAACTAAGGCGTGCTTTAACCAGTATGTTTTAGCCGCAAAAGTCCCCTGAATATCATTATTATTCACCATCAGGTGTCGATTTTTGGAGGTCGTGAAACAATCACATGCGAGTGGAAATGTGTCTTTGTTTAGAACATAAATATGAATGTATGTTATAAGTACAAACAGAGATTTATTCGTATTTTAACAAGATTAAAAAAAAACCTCGCCCAGTTGTAATGCTCTCAGATCACGCCATGCTAAAATGGCAATGTCTTACTGGTTAGGAAATGTGATGTGTAAATATCTAGTTCGATGTGTACTTAGTAACGAATAATAGATATATGTATAAAGTATAAATATACACGTTGATAAGGCTAATGTTAGTAACCGTTATTCGTTAACCAACAACTGCTGACATTTTTAAAAAAAGAGAACCCGAAGAGAGATATTGTTGAATAGCAGTTCATGGTATGGAATTCGGATGTGGTATCCCTTCTCCCCTGAATTTTAAAGGGCGGGGCTCAAATGTATGTCAAGGGATCAATATTCGTCCATTTTTCTGTACATTTACACTACATGTACTAGAAATTCTGCTCTATAATGTTATAATCCCCAGGATGGTACAATACCCAGCTATCAGTATAGCAGGACTCATGTGACCATTAAATATGGCTACTGTATCACAAACCGTTCTATTGGGTCAAACATTTGTCGGTCTGTATCACAAACCGTTCTATTGGGTCAAACATTTGTCGGTCTGTATCACAAACCGTTCTATTGGGTCAAACATTTGTCGGTCTGTATCACAAACCGTTCTATTGGGTCAAACATTTGTCGGTCTGTATCACAAACCGTTCTATTGGGTCAAACATTTGTCGGTCTGTATCACAAACCGTTCTTTTGGGTCAAACATTTGTCGGTCTGTATCACAAACCGTTCTATTGGGTCAAACATTTGTCGGTCTGTATCACAAACCGTTCTATTGGGTCAAACATTTGTCGGTCTGTATCACAAACCGTTCTATTGGGTCAAACATTTGTCGGTCTGTATCACAAACCGTTCTATTGGGTCAAACATTTGTCGGTCTGTATCACAAACCGTTCTATTGGGTCAAACATTTGTCGTCTGTATCTGTATCACAAGTCGGTCTGTATCACAAACCGTTCTATTGGGTCAAACATTTGTCGGTCTGTATCACAAACCGTTCTATTGGGTCAAACATTTGTCGGTCTGTATCTATTGGGTCAAACATTTGTCGGTCTGTATCACAAACCGTTCTATTGGGTCAAACATTTGTCGGTCTGTATCACAAACCGTTCTATTGGGTCAAACATTTGTCGGTCTGTATCACAAACCGTTCTATTGGGTCAAACATTTGTCGGTCTGTATCACAAACCGTTCTATTGGGTCAAACATTTGTCGGTCTGTATCACAAACCGTTCTATTGGGTCAAACATTTGTCGGTCTGTCACAAACCGTTCACAAACCGTTCTATTGGGTCAAACATTTGTCGGTCTGTATCACAAACCGTTCTATTGGGTCAAACATTTGTCGGTCTGTATCACAAACCGTTCTATTGGGTCAAACATTTGTCGGTCTGTATCACAAACCGTTCTATTGGGTCAAACATTTGTCGGTCTGTATCACAAACCGTTCTATTGGGTCAAACATTTGTCGGTCTGTATCACAAACCGTTCTATTGGGTCAAACATTTGTCGGTCTGTATCACAAACCGTTCTATTGGGTCAAACATTTGTCGGTCTGTATCACAAACCGTTCTATTGGGTCAAACATTTGTCGGTCTGTATCACAAACCGTTCTATTGGGTCAAACATTTGTCGGTCTGTATCACAAACCGTTCTATTGGGTCAAACATTTGTCGGTCTGTATCACAAACCGTTCTATTGGGTCAAACATTTGTCGGTCTGTATCACAAACCGTTCTATTGGGTCAAACATTTGTCGGTCTGTATCACAAACCGTTCTATTGGGTCAAACATTTGTCGGTCTGTATCACAAACCGTTCTATTGGGTCAAACATTTGTCGGTCTGTATCACAAACCGTTCTATTGGGTCAAACATTTGTCGGTCTGTATCACAAACCGTTCTATTGGGTCAAACATTTGTCGGTCTGTATCACGTATCACAAACCGTTCTTCACAAACCGTTCTATTGGGTCAAACATTTGTCGGTCTGTATCACAAACCGTTCTATTGGGTCAAACATTTGTCGGTCTGTATCACAAACCGTTCTATTGGGTCAAACATTTGTCGGTCTGTATCACAAACCGTTCTATTGGGTCAAACATTTGTCGGTCTGTATCACAAACCGTTCTATTGGGTCAAACATTTGTCGGTCTGTATCACAAACCGTTCTATTGGGTCAAACATTTGTCGGTCTGTATCACAAACCGTTCTATTGGGTCAAACATTTGTCGGTCTGTATCACAAACCGTTCTATTGGGTCAAACATTTGTCGGTCTGTATCACAAACCGTTCTATTGGGTCAAACATTTGTCGGTCTGTATCACAAACCGTTCTATTGGGTCAAACATTTGTCGGTCTGTATCACAAACCGTTCTATTGGGTCAAACATTTGTCGGTCTGTATCACAAACCGTTCTATTGGGTCAAACATTTGTCGGTCTGTATCACAAACCGTTCTATTGGGTCAAACATTTGTCGGTCTGTATCACAAACCGTTCTATTGGGTCAAACATTTGTCGGTCTGTATCACAAACCGTTCTATTGGGTCAAACATTTGTCGGTCTGTATCACAAACCGTTCTATTGGGTCAAACATTTGTCGGTCTGTATCACAAACCGTTCTATTGGGTCAAACATTTGTCGGTCTGTATCACAAACCGTTCTATTGGGTCAAACATTTGTCGGTCTGTATCACAAACCGTTCTATTGGGTCAAACATTTGTCGGTCTGTATCACAAACCGTTCTATTTGGTCAAACATTTGTCGGTCTGTATCACAAACCGTTCTATTGGGTCAAACATTTGGCGGTCTGTATCACAAACCGTTCTATTGGGTCAAACATTTGTCGGTCTGTATCACAAACCGTTCTATTGGGTCAAACATTTGTCGGTATATCTGCGGTTTCCATGGAATTTTCTGAGACCTGTTTCCACTACGTGGTTATATCTTTGGTGGATACTACATGATGACTTTATACTGTTGAATCCCTGAGTGTCTGAATGTCAAATGATCTGTTAAATCTATAGAGTTATAGGCGGCCATTTTAAGGTAGTGAATGATGTTAGATATCGTAAATACTTTATCAACCTATAAAGACACTTGGTCATATGATACGAACCATTAAATTCAGTATGAAAATTGTATTGAAAACTGGTTTTTGTCCTTTCGTAACAATAAAACTTACCGCACTCTTTGCAGTGTGTCCCGTTGTGTTTGGTGCTGTATATCATTTAGTTATACACCCATCTTAACAATAACCCGGATTAAACGGTGTACCCCGTACTCTAACAAAACAGTTTGCCACCTAAAGCAGCGTGTATTACTAGCATATGGTTACATGTGTTCATATCGATTTCTTTCTATTTTGCCTGTTTTGATATCATAAATATATGCTTGACTTTCTATTATTATAATGAAATTTTGAGTTGAATATTCCTCGTTCATAATTATAATGATCATTTAGCCAAATTTGAAGAAAAGAGAAATATAGTTCCAAACCTTACCGTAATATTGAGAGTATATGTTCATCCATAACATCAATACAGAAAATGATAATTTGATAATCGATAAAAATATTAGGGTGGTTCTTTACCAATATATATTTTCTCAAAAACAATGACTGAAAAATCAGACCAGAGTAGTTTTCACGATGCATTTTAGTTTGTGCCAAATGTCATTTTTTTGGATCAAATCCGGCACTTTTCGGCCATATTTGGTAGTTCTCCTCTCCAATAGCATTGCCTTCTGTCTGGTTCGCTTTGTCAGTTTAGCCGTTCCACATACGCGATCCTGCTTTCCTTCCAGCTTGACCGAAACAGTCCGATCTTACCGGAAGAAAAGTTAGCGAGCTAATCAGCAAAAAAAGGCGAAAAGGAAGATAAATTGATATTTTGTATGTCGACTGCGGCAAATAAGCGAAATTGGAGGTAAATTCCAAGACAGTAAATAAACAGAGATATACATAATCTTATCTCTAACACTACTCAGATGAGGCATAAACAACACAGTATTAAAGTCGTACTATTAGTGGTATTCATTGCCTCACCCTAACAGTCACTATTCAAACACATAAGCATTGCATTGAGCTGTGGATACGTCGCCATCTTTCATGTTTGTTGGTTCAATCTTTCAGAAGAAGGGAATTTGATAGTAGCTACGATCTGGTGACAGTGGAATGGCGGTCAACGTCGAAGGTAGTTACTGAATCAGCGACCAGATTGAATTGATTTAACAAATACAACAAGAATAGTCATAATTACTTCCTCGGTTAGTACATAGACAGGAACATATATTTCTCGTACGTATAAGTGAAACGGGGAAATACCGCGTGCTACCCGGTACTGGATTTTTCTGTGTCGCACAATCTGTCTGATACGGAAAACAATATGATCAGGACGAGAATCAATATACCGTTCATACTTTGACAAGGCATTCCAACATTAAGACAAAGAAGTATGAAACAGTATAAAAATTATAGTGATGAAATCACCAAACATTGTTACGAACCTGTCATAAACCTCAATATCGGGGGTCCAAACTTCGTTCTCCGGTAACACCATCGCCGACAGACCATAATTTTCGGTGGCATTCCAAACCAGGCGACAGTCTTTCCATTGCTAAAAAAGACGATAGTATATATCTATATTTTATAATCAAGTTCTATTGTTTAATAAGAGACTAGGGTTTTATTGCAACATTCATGTTAATAATGGTATGTCAACTTTTACTGATATCATGGTCTCACGATGAAACAGAAAATCATTCCACTCGGTCCTATCCTCTTTTTACTTTCCATCCGGGGTCTGTATGAAAGTTTTGCTACGTTTTGCCATAGTTCCATAGAATACATGTTCGAATGGATACTCTGTTAACATGCCGGTATTTTCTGTGTGGGTTTTAAATGGATACCCAACACGTTGGAACAGAAACATTTGAGTATGAAAGGCAATGACTTACCAGTCGAACCCAAAGACTAATTTTTAGCAGCTGGACAGGTTCTTCCTGTAAAATAATGAGAAATATCGAGTGAATGATCATTTTTGTTTTGGCAGCATACTACATTTACATAGGTTTAAAATTTCAGTTGATACCGAAATAAAATGTTTTGAGTATATATGCTACGTTTCGTCTGTTTGTACCTGCAAAAACATTCACACATAGTGTACTATGTGCTCCTAAATATAAATGGTTTCACGTTTCTGATTAAGGTGACAAGTATAACGTTTTCGGGGATATATGAATAAACACAATAGTATGATCCAAACCTAGCTCACAAAGGTCACACAGACCATACGATCCAAATGACGGCTGCTGAAATACAGCCTCATAGTTTGTAAAATGTCACAGGCAAATTGATCATGAGGTTGTCAACATTACACCGTGCTGATGTTACAACCATCGACTGTTCGTGAGACCTATGCCACAGCTATTTCTGCTGATGTCATGCTATATGAATTATCATGCATGAATGAGATTTCAATAAAACGTTTTCCTTTTTAAGAGTCCAAATCTTAAAAAGCATATATTTACTCTCGGTATAGCGAATCTGTTGTTAAATTTATATTGAACATATCAAATCACTAACTTTTGTGGATTTTAAGGCATCTTTTTATGTTCTGTCTCCATTTCATAATCTTAAAATTTGGTCTTCGTAGAATAAATTTAAAATTTAACAAAGTTGCCAAAATAACACCTAATTAATCAGTTAAAAGTTGTTTGTCCGACTTCAATTTTAAACACGTTTTATCATGTTTCGATAAAACAGATAAATTTATTGCTAAAAGTAATTAAGTCTACTAAGTACGTCCTCGCCTTTAAAGAAAATATCATGTGTGTAATCCAGCTATTTAGGGTATTATGATATAACGAGATACACGATACAGGATTCCTCAATATATCTCTTCGCTACAGGAACTTATAACGCGACATCTCCCATAACGCAAAACACATCAATCTGCAGTTTAAATTTCCCTTTTTGACACTAAAGATAAGGTTGTGAATCTATTTCATAGTTTTAATTAAAACTATTTGAACAAGTCATTGTCATTTTCATTTGGTCTTTTGCGAATAATTGGTGATTAAAATATGTGTTATTTAAACAATTCGCTTACAGTTCTCTACTAAAAGTCAGATCTATACATAATAAATAATTTCAATGCTACGGTGGTTCTTTTTCTATCTATTTGGGTATACAACAATTTCACCGGATGTTACGACAATCTGTTTTTGATGAAACAAATACTGCTTTATGTTGTCGAAAATAAGTCCTGAACCTCAGTCATCATCCCAATTAGATAAGAATGAAGATAATATTTGTGTATCCTAATGTGACCTTTAGAGCTTGTTTGTAATGTATGTTAGGACATATAAGTATCAGAAGAATTACGTATATACTGACCAGATCTATGAGTTGTCGGAGTCCGAGATCCATGTTGATATCAACAGGGATGTGTGGTCCTTTACATGTAGGTCTGACGTTGTGGTCATATCCTAACAGCACATTTGTGTTCACTGTACAAATAGTTAACCCTGTAGTGTATAAGAAGATCGGTGAATCACACAGGATTCTAATTAGTCAACACACTTATCCATAAGTCATCAGGTTACATCGTATTAAAGGCAATGTTTAAACATAGTATTGTTGCGGCAACTAAGTATTAAATAGCTGAACAGGTCATATAATAGATCAATCACTTTCACATAAAATGTGTAATCTGCGAAGAGACCCTCTAGTTCAAGCAGTGACCATATCTATAGAATGGCTTCTCGTTAACGTGTTTGATACATTTTAGACCAACGATGAGACATCCATTTGGTGCCATGTTGAAGCATGTTAAGTAAACACTTTGGACGTCTCCACAGATAACAGACGGAGGGAATAAAATATAACTTAGAACTAATAGAAGAGATTTAGATATAATACTTTGAAGTTATTCAGATAGTATCTATTTTTCTGTTTGAATCCTATTTTGTCCCTTTGTTTGTCTGTCATCTATTATATATTGACAATACATGCAATCTCCACTCCTACATACGGCGTTGAAAGCATTTTTCTGTTTAGAACTAACCCCTCCCCCCTCTTGACATAACACCAAGGAATGCACTCATTGAAAAAACGAAATTATTCATCTGAGTACTTGAAGTTGGAAACCATACAATTACATTTAAATCGAAGAGTAATGACAAAAAATGAATGACATAGATTAATGGATTTTCTTATTTTTTCATAATGTAATTTATTCAATTTTCGATTGAAATAAATGGAAACGTACCCTGCATTGCGGTCTATGATAGTGATATGCTTAAGCTTCAAAACGTTGTTATTCATATCCCAGTTTCTAATAATTCTATGGATAAAATGTACTTGCCTGAAAGCCACAATAGGCGTATTAGAATATTGATGTGTATGTCCATCGCTAGGCCTGGCTTGTTAAACTATGTGTACAATATTGCACAGGGTAATCTTAATTTCCTGTCACGTATGCGGTTGTGACGCAACTCGTTGTGCCGCACATGATAACGCATATATATATAGTACATACTTATATTTCAAAACAACATATCTCGATTAAAATTTCAACTCACACTTGTTAAATAGGAGTGTGGTTCTCATAAAATGTTATTCTACCTATGGAGGCTGGGGTATACACATTGATTTAATGTAGCCAGGGTTTATCCTGTTTGTTTTAATGTGACCGGGAGGGATGCAATTTACTTGTAACGAAAGGTGTTATTCACTTTTTTTATCTTTTGCACAGTATCGGAATAAAACCTCCATGATTTACCATGATACTTCTCAAACATGTAGTTCACATGACCGACATATAACAATATAATTACAATCATGCGTCGCTATCATTGTCAATTTGCATTGTGACAGAGGTTAAATTAAGCTATGCCACGTCTACTATGAACCATTATATAATCACTTAACGTCAGGTTTCTTAAAGAGGAATGCTGGCAGAAGACATACATGACAGTCGATCAGGTAAGGCACAACAGGTAAGCGACTGTCAATATCTTGATATAATCGTATTGTTTCTTTAGGATGTGCGACACATTTCATTCCACATGTAGTATAATATAAAAGTATTGTAAGGATGCGTCTCTTGTCGGATTAGCGAGGAGAATGTGGTATTTACACTTCACCACACGCACATGATTGGAAAGATCGTGATCAATTGACGTGACATTTGTAGAGAGATTGTATTCTCTCCATTATTAGATATCAGAAGAGGACCAAATTGTCTGTATTATGGTTTTGATTTAGAGCTCATTGTATGAACATTAAATGTTGATATCAAGAACTGCTGCACCTTCCCGTTCTAGATTTTGGCCTTTTTTCATCACTTTGGATTCTCCTTAGTCGACTCCTGTGCAGGCTTTCAGCAGTATTGCTTTCAGGTCAGTACTACCATTACATTTCGCCTCCTGTGCTTACAAATATAGGCCCTTAGAATCACTGACGAGTCCTAGAAGGACGAAACAGCTGTATGATGTAACTTAATTAAATTTTTTGCCTATCTTACAATAATTATGAAAAGGTGCTATTCCCTTGATTGTATTTTGTACAATTTTTCACTTTACGATAAAATTTAGTTTTAGTGATCATTTTAAGAATGTTTTTATCAAGTTTCACTATACAGATCACTTTCATTATCAAAGTTGGTTTCTTATCGTATGTCATGTGATGTTCTGTACTAGATATGGATTGATTCCAGTTATCCACACAAACATCAGGTTTGTTGTACCAATACAAAATTAATAAATCCTACAAAATGATGTGACATGTGTTGAATTGTTTGCATGGTACATGTTTAATTGTGTGTGTGTGTGTATCCACAGCTTCGTTTATAACACAATCTCAGCCTTAAGTAGTTTTTCTTAGGGTATATTACTTCAAATGCATATCTCTAAGGTATTAATGCTGAACATACTTCAAATTATGCATAATATACTGAAGTGGTTTGGTATAATTCAAACATAGAAAAATGTATTCGTATTTACCATAAAAAACAATTCAAAATGTCCCATGTCTATAGGCTATTGTACATTAAATATGCTAAACAGCTGCATATCTACCGATTTTCATATTACTTAAGACATTTAATATATGTGGCAAGTTATTAAATATACACTGTTATTGCAACTATCCTGAATGAAGTTGGCATTGTGGATGTATTTTTATATGTATCACAACCGATATCATCTATGCCAATATAACTTATTCAGTACCAAAATCACATTTATTGTATACGCTAACATTATTCATTTTCAAAAATTCACCTGTGACAATTATCTGTCATTAGTTAGGATATCCCCATCACTCAACCTGGTGTTATGTAAGGAGGCGCATTACGACTATCACTAGTTATAATCACGTCATGACGTATACAGTTTATTTCAATGTATATACATAGGATGAAAAAACAAAAGAAATCGACATGGGAGCCAAACTCCTCCTTTGCATCTTATTTGACTGAACTCGTTGCGCTTGTTGTAAGGCAGTTCATATCTTATACTAAACCGTGAGATAATAAAGAATCGTTTTGTATTGAGGTTTCCATCATATCGTCCGTCAACCACGAAAAGGTAACTGTCTGTAGTAATATGATTTAAACGGCAAATCGACAAACGTTTTGTTTACATGCCATTCTTCCAAACAGCTCAGAGCTAAAGGTTGGTAATCATAATGAAACTTGTTTGCAAATAATTCCTTCCTCGATACCAATTCGGTGAGGTCACCCAAACCATAAATGCACATTCCTCTTACATATTTGCCGTGACAAGGTCCTCCCCAATTTGCATATGTTGCCAGAAAGGGTTTCTCGTCAGGAACACCTAAGTAAGCAAAAAGAAATATCAAAACAAATATAGCTTATTCAAACAATCACCTCGAAACTAATATCAAAATCATGTCAATGGATCTGGACAAACTCGTGTAAAATTGCGTGAGTAAAAGTATCATGCCAGTCGTTAGAGGCGACAAATGTGTCCCCTCTCTTCACTGTTTCTTAGGATAATGAAAATGAAAACTACATACAATATATATATTAAAGATATTTTTGCAATGACTCAAGCACGCGCAACATCGTACAAACGAGACTGGTGAAACCAAAACCAATGTGAATGCTCATATTTTAGAGGTAATTATATTTTCGCGTTGGAAATATGGCTACAAAATATGATTACACAAATGGGGTTTCTATATATTGTTTATATAGCAATAATTGTGAATATACTACTATTACCATTGTGCCTATTTGCTAAAATATGATATTGTGCTTAAATTAGTAAATGAAGCAATTTTTGTACAAATAAGGAACACTTTGCAGCTGCTTGCTGTCAATATCACACTGCAATAATACAAAAATATATACACAATCAACTACCATATCGTGACCACATCCAAAACCCTAACCAACTGTACTACTCATGCTGGTTATCTAGTGACACACACATGCTTTAGTCCTGCTAACGACCTCGGCGATACCATTGACTCAGTACTCACGATATGACGCCTTACTACGAGCTATGAAGCCCAGAACAAGACTTACTCAGCCGCTTCAATCTTTCTGTGCCAATATCCACCAAATCATGCAAACTTTTTTTGTCACTTGCTACCAACCAAGGAGGGAAATAATGACCCCCAGTGGAGATGAATTAGACTAGTCAAAAAAACGCTTTCATAAACAATTACGCGTCTAAATGACCTAAAAAATGATTACATACTTGACTCATTTTCCCTTAAGTTTAGGCCAATTTTCGCCACTTGTGTTTACTTATCAAATGCACCAGTAAGCTGACATCACTTGGTATTTCCCGTTTTGTCTACTATATCTTAAAATGACACTGAAGAGACCCCATTTGAAAACTTTCTCTATTTGTCTTTTTATTCGTTATTCCCTGTGTCTTATGGTTCAGTTTCGCCCATTGTAATACCAGAAAAATGTACAAAAAACACAAGCAATTAGCCTGTAAGGACGACTTTCCTGTGTTTGCGAAGTGAGTTTTTGTGTTTGTGGAAGGATGCGTAATGTAATGGTAGTGCTGACCTGAAAGCAATGCTGTCTACAGCCTGCAGAAATGCAGCTTTTACTTCAAACGCATTAATATCATTCACCTGTTTATCTTTTCTTGCTCTTGTTAGTGATGACCTTGAACGTAAAGACGTGCAACTTAACTATAGACATATTATCCAGTATCTCTGCTATATTATAGCGCACATATTATATAAGACTTGATTTCACAGCTATTTCGCCTTTGACAACAGAGGACCTCAACTTAGGTACACATTGCACAGTATTTCTGACATATTGTAAAGTAGATTTTGCACAAACACTTGAGTTCACAGCCTTTATCGACATATAGAGGATTCATTCTAAGTACACATTGTCCAATATTTCTGCTATGTTACACCGTTCAAATAACAACAAACATTGGATTTCACAGCTGTTTCGCTTTGCCTCAGATGACGTCAGGCTAGGTACACGTTGTCCTACATATAGCACAAATACAAGATTTTACAGCTTGATCTTCCTTCAGAACCCCTGAATGGTAACAGGGGTCTGAATTCATGAAACCAAGGACGCAAAACCATGTATCATGTGACCCCTGCTATTATAGGATTTTTTACATTTTTTACTTACCAGTGTAACCTCCAGGTGCCCCAATATTTCGGTCATGGTTTAGTGTAGACCAGTAGTACTCGTCTGGGCTATTAACATCGGATAGATAGGCGAGCAAATCCTTCGACACTTTGTTATGAAGTATAAAATCGACGAATTTCCTACTAAATACCCCGTAAGCACTACCCTTGACTATAGTAATATTATGAGGTGGTTTTCCCATCTTTTCATCAGTTCTTACCATTGTACCATTCTCAATAACATATTTGTTTGTAATCCTCGATATCATCATTCGAGTGGGCTGCGTGATTCCTTCAATGTCATTTGAACCATTATAAAGAGTCAATATTTTAACAAACTCCAAATTAGTCTGTAACGGAAACTGCTGACTCGGTGTATTGATGAAATATTTCCATTGAACATCAGACTTTAGTAAATCTGCCATACAGTTTAGATCCGCCTTCACTCTTGTCATCCCAGCATATATAACATCCTCCAATTTAGAACTTACAAATACATTATCAAAACATTTGACGAGTGCCCTCACAGCCTTATGAATAACAGGATCAGCACTGAGGTCCACGTGAAGACAGTATATGTTATGTGGCCTGTAGAGAGCGCGGAGAGTCCTTTCAGCCTGTTCCACATCTTTATAGAGGAGAATACTGAAAGCGATAGGGAATGCCTTTTCGGTTTTTAAAACCATCTCTTCCAGAATATAACCTCTCAAATATTTGAATGTGTCACAATCTTTGGTGAAATTGACGTATGTCTCGTCGGGTATAAATCCAAGGTCCTTTTGAGTTATTTTCTCTGCTTTTTGGATTTCTGTTACATCACCTTCAATTATTTTTACACAATTAACTTCCTGTACGAGTCTTTTTGGCCGATTGATTTTTGACTGTTTCTGTACACACTTAATCCATTCTGGTCTTTGTATGAGACTTGTGAATTGAGGAAAAGCAAATGATATTGCGATGTATCTTAAGATGAACAAATACATCACGAAGGTTGTTACAAAAACCAGGGGATATAATGTTTTCCACCGCTTCATTTTGCTTTTAAATGTTTTCTACAAGAAAAAAAAATCAAGACACACTTTGTTAAAAAATTAATGAAATCAGCATTTTTCGTCAATTAAATGTGTTTTATGCATGAACGTCTGTTTAGTCTTATTTTGATGAATGTCCTGTCAGCATTTGTTGAAAGAAAGTCTCCCCATGCATGCGACGTGAGAGTAGGTGTTGGCGTTGAATGTGAAAGGTAAACTATTCCCACATACTGTAAATATTGCATAGTCTTATCGGCCCTGGATCACCAATAATATAATGTAAACTATAAACTTTACAGGTTATACATGTCAATCGACCTCTGCTCTGATAGGAGCGCAGGTCTTTAATACAAGATGAACCGGAGTGCATGGGACACACCATGTTTGGGATTTTACTTCATAAATTAGTTTAAAGGAAAAGAGTGTACATGGATTCTAGGGAAAAAAACGCAGTTGCTGTGCCGTGTCCTTAAATTACATCGCCTCTTACTGGCCCTTTCATAGTGTTATCCCACTGAAATGTCGGATATTTCAACGCATGTTCCCTATCACATCATACTTCTACCAGGTTGAATAGTACTTAGGAAACAATGTAATGCTGAAGTCAATACGTACAATAATTAACCTGATTGTCTTTTGGATGAGAGAAAACTCCAGAGACAAATGCTCAACGTCTATTCACGAACTTTGAGGATTCAAGGACAGACATTCTAAATATACGAGTGGTGTTTTACTTTTGGCTTATGAATAAAAAAACTATTTTGATTTTGGTACCCGCTAATGATCGTAAATCCCTACAATTCATGTGCCATTGAACTTTACACAAATCGTCAACTACAATAAGTGAAATACTGCGAAATAGACATATTTCTATTTAATCCCTGTTAGTGGCATTATAAAGTCACTATCAGTCCGCGCCGCACTTACGTATGTTTTCTAATACCCGCACATTTGTCCCATTCCCTCACCTCGCATACACACTTAGGTCGTCGTTAAGTGACCTTAGATGTTTACAGGATATTCGGGATATTTAATAGACCTATTATGATTAATCTCTTTACAAGAATGGTACGACATCATTTGATAAATCCAGGTTTGAATATAATTTCGTCTGTATTTATACTCACTCGTTTCTTCATTTCAAATAGACTTCAGTACCTTAATTCAAATTATAGTTCCAGATCTTCACGACATCATTTAATTCCAGTCACAATATCCAATCCTGTGGACGAATCCTTGGATATTCTGCGCTTTCAGTTTCTGTTTCATTCCGAGATATGCAAAGATTTCACCTGATAAGTAGATAAGTATACATAAATGTCAGTATTTTCCTGCCATTATAATGAAAATGCTAAAACAAATTACCACAGGTAACAAATGCATTATAATTAATACATTAATGTCAGCAAAATTACAAAATGAAAACGAATATTGTCATGCACGAAATATGATACTAAGAAAGATATGTAACTCTGCATTTAACTTCAGGTCAAATTTGACATTTAAAAATCTTACTCACATGATGGGTTATTAACGTTATTAATAAATTAGTTTAAAATCCTTGTATTTGAATGTAATTTGCATATCGTATGTATAAGGAAGGAATATATAACATGACAAAGATTGTTATTAGCGTCCCCTTTCCTAATTTCCTAACAAACGCATATCGGGAAAAGTGCCCACTTAAATTATTTTTTCAACCTATACTGATCACTCTTGTTGGTCCGTAGGGAAGCGCGTGAACACGTGTATTGTCTGTGATATTGGTCGTTTAGGAGATACAGTTTACATAAGAAAGCACGAGAACAAGATCTGCTGTTTCCCATACCATGTGATCTTTAGGGGACCATATTATATCACCTGTAGAACTGAGTGTCTTGGCAAGAGTCAAGCTCTTTTCTCATTTATCTTCCTTTTCAGGACTTCTAACTTGCAGATGGGACGAAATAATTGTTTTGCTGTCGACGCTGTATAAATGTCGGCCGTAATAGCGGCCAAGGTCTTGGGCTCGAAACAAATTGAAGTCAACATCGGTTAATATTTTATTCTATTTGAAGATTTTTTTTTATTCTGTTAATCATTAAGAAAATATCAGGGCTTTTATTTGCGGAGTTCTCGATTCTTAATCTGTTACTTGGTTAAAATGTCTGTTTACCATTCAAGGCAAACAATAGCGAGATTATGTATTTATTATGCAGTAGTACAAATTATGTTAATTTGTACAACTTCAAAATTTGTCCCGTTTGGAGGTTATCAGAGTACGTTTTTCGACTGACGGGTTGGTTTTGACGACGTCATTGATGTTTTAGCTATAGTAAAGTACATAATTCGACTGACGGGTTGGTTTTGACGACGTCATTAAGACTTCGGCTGTAAACGTTAAGTCTATAAAACCAGCTCTCTTCATGTCAACAGATGTGAAGAAGAGTCTCTCAATAGGAGGTCCTGTGTCAGTTGCCCCAGGCGTGGTGCTGGCTAGCATCTCCATACCATGAAATGTACCTCTTCCGTCTAACGTACAGATGTTGTGATCCACATTCTCTGCTGCATATTGTAGGAACTGTTAATCTGAGTATCCATGGATATTCGTCCCTTCTTGTTGAGCAGCATTAGTTTCAAACCAGTTGACCTCGGCGTAGGAAGAACAAAAACCAAGGGAATTAAGGGTTTCAATAAGAAATCTTGATTCATACTGGTGGTGCAGCTGGATACAAAGGCCTATATGTAAAGGTGCCAAAAAACTACGCGGTCTTGCTGACTGAGCTATAGACTGCCCAATAGCTGCTACCTTCAAACGATATTTCGTGCGAACTATTTCTTCCAAAAGGAACACAAGGCTCTCGGGAAAGTATTACAAATTCTTGTCCTCAGAAGAAATCTCCGAAGCAGACGGATAGGTATCAGATTTCAGATTCATTGCCATATCAGATCGTAGAAGCTCTGCTGCAGTTTCGATTATAACTTTCTTCTCTTTGGCAGGGTCCTGATTTTTCGGCCTTGCGTAGAAATTTCTAAGAATATCCGGTTAAGCCTCTTTGATGGTGATTATGTCAGGCCTTCCACTTTCCGATGAGAATATAATGTTGTCTCCATAATGATCAACAAGTCGACGTCTCAAACGCTTTGGTGTGAATACTTCATCACCACTCAAATCGCTCATTTTGGATGAAACGTCAGCTAAAGTAAACTGGTCACTACCCTCTTCAATAAAATGTATTATCTTCTTGTGAACTAAGTCTACCTTTAACCTTCTTTGTGCTGTTTGGTGAAAAAACTTGTGGTGTCTGTCTTTCTGTCCTGAAATGACACTGCAGTTCTGGTGGTATACGGCATCAGATGCTGGAAGGTCATTTACAGATTGCAGCCTCCCTCAAACTTCAAGTGCCCACTGGTCACCTCTCTCCTCGCACATTGCAAGAATACTGCGCTGAAAGTCCATCGTTCTCACTGGAAAAACATCTACTGTTCTTAAAGTGAACGAAAGGGGAAGAGTAAAGACACGTAAAGAAAATACACCAGAAAAAATAATGAAATGTAACTTAGCTTAAGACATGGATTCGGACAAATCTGTAAAACAACACAAAACTACAACTTATAGAAAAATAAACCAAAAAGAAAGCAAATATGAAATCATAAACCACAAAGTACATCATAAAATTCAGTGTCAATTTCCTGCTTAATAACTTGATACTTTAATCCAGTTCGCTTCTCATTATTTTGTTAAAGTAATAATAAATGGAAAAAAATGCATTGACATTTCACATTACAAATATCCGAATAAACGACAAAATTTCAAAATACACTTAATGAACATTTATATTAATCGAAGAAATGTCCAAAGCTCTTCCTTTACTTTACTTTACTAATTATTAGTGTTCATAGCTAACATTTATCAAATCAAGGAAATATAAGGAAGTATACGCAAAAATGAATATACCTGTGCTTGTCCTGTATGAGTTCCCATACTTCAGAAAATTCGACGGCCTTCTTCAACAATTATATCTTCACAAAGATTTAAGAAATATGCTTTCATTCCATTTTTACTCACCTCATTTGGACCTGATTTTTCATAATTTCCCACGAAATCAGTTGGAATGTAAACACCGGAAGTTTCAGTTTGATCAAAACGATATCTATGGTGGCCTATAAGTGTAATATGCTGTTCGCTACGTACAAGTTCTGAAAATCGTTTCCCCGGGATAGATTTTAGCAGACTTTTAGTATGATGTTTTTCATGATATTTGTGAGCATTTTCAACAAAAATTATTTCTGTTGCAATTTTGTCCCGGTTGAAATTAATTTTACTGGACTAGTACCATAGAGTGTATCATTTTTACAACGGAATATGAATCATATGGCATGTATGGCATATTTTGGCGTGTGTTGTTGGTATTTTGCATGCAAGAACATAGCAATCAAATTTTTTAGATTACGAAATATTACTATTTTACTGTCAGAAAAATGTAAAATTATATTTCTTTAAACTATCACATTTTCTATTTGCAAAATTGATATTTTTCACTTACACAATTACATTTTTACATCTTATACTTTTGTTGCGGTTCGTAGCTGTTTTGCTTCAGTTTTACTGTTGTTATGCTGCTGTTTTACAGGTATTTTCTGCTGTTTTGCTGTTGTTTACTGCTGTTTTACTGCTGTTTGCTGCTTTTTGCTGTTGTTATGCGCTAATTTGCTGCTTTTTGCTGTTGTTATGTGCTAATTTGCTGCTTTTTGTTGTTGTTATGCGCTAATTTGCTGCTTTTTGCTGTTGTAATGCGCTAATTTGCTGCTTTTTGCTGTTGTTATGCGCTAATTTGCTGCTTTTTGCTGTTGTTTACTCCTGGTATTTGCATGCTAGACACTTTTGCTGTTTTTATTGACATAATTTTAGCATTTTACAATTCTTCAAAATATTACTTTTTTACATTAATTCAGACATACAAAATTATTACCATCTTACATTTCTTATTTACGAAACTTGACTTTCAAAAAACATGTTTGGCATCAAAATGTGCAATTCGAACTTGATCAGTGATATTTTGATGATGGCTACGGGTCCTCTGGATTGTTTACAAACGCCGGGAAACTGTAAAGAGTCCTTATCAAACAGGGTATCATCGATGACCAATCGATTCATTGTTGCCCGCTGTCTAACAGGACTTCTTTTTCTTTTCTTTTTTACATAGTTATTTCCTTTTATGACTACTTATAAGATTTTGAAAGAAACTATCTACATGATGACTGTTTCCGTCAGACATCGCCATCCCTCTTTCTCTGTGTACCAAATAAAATATACAGTACTGACCACATGCTAGAGAGTTGAGTTGCTGTACTCGACTAGGGATATATATCCACGTTGTACAATGTTTGTTTAAAATTTAACGAAGGCGTCGTAAAAGGGGAGGTAACCCAAATGGATCGTAATAATCTCCACTTCTTTCTTCATCTATATAAGGCAATCCAGTGTTTAACTTGTTTCCTATCCAGATCAATATTACAGACTAACAAACATGGCGACGTTAATGCACGAGGCAATCTGTTTCTGGCTTAAACACCTTTAAATCAACATTGGATTTCTATCTCCAAAGTATTCATCTTTTAGGCATTGAAATCAAATAAGACCTGTCGGTTCCTGTCGATTTCTACAAATTTTCAAAATCGGCATACACGATGATGTTGATGATTTGGATCAATGCTTCACCGAAATGAATTTCCAAAGACGTATTTCCTCTCTTTATAAGATGAAATGTACCTAATTCAGAAAGATCGGGCGTGAGGTCGAATACAAACAAAGTATAGCCGTTGCCGTATTCTTCCCTCGAGATGTTATTACCCTCGTCGTGGAGGTACTGGTGAATAGACTTAACAAGTTAATGTTTCGCAGTAAAATGCGGTTGTAAAGGTTTTGCCAGGAACTGATTGCCATCCACGTTCTCGACGACGTAAATGATTCTTTAATGTTTGAAATTGAATGGAGTTTTAATAACGACGCCGCTATAGGCATCGCTGTCAACGGAGTCCACGACTAATATCTTGGGCATTTGTTCTATGAACAGATTTTTCTTTTATGAAGTCGAGGTTCCACCTCTGAACGCCAGCTGCTGTCATTTCGGTCATGAACCAAAAGAAACTGGGCCAGCTAAAAGGGCAAGCATCTCCAAAGAGACATGTGACTATCTTCTCTGTTTGTAAAATGTATATATAGAAAAATGTAGACAAAGGTTAAAGTTATGTCTTTATTTATCATTCAGAATTGCCGGCCCATGGTTTTGAAAAATGACCCCTATTTTTGGGCTAGAGGCCCAATGACCCATGTAAATGCAAAATCATCTGAAGCTCTGAGTGAGATTCGTTGGCCACCGGACAAAAGCTCAAGAGAGTTTCCATTGATTACTATAAGCATACAGGTTTTTTCGTTCAGACTTACTCCAACTTATAGATATATTATCCCTTTGTCGTGTTTTTCTCGCGTATTAATTCTTTTCTCGGAGGTCCGACACTTTGCAAGACTTTGCGTTTGAGTCGATGTTTTGCTAAGAAAACTTGTTTTCTTGTCGACGTTTTAATATCTTCACCACTCAACAAATTCCGCCAAATTCATGCCAGTTCTTAATACCGGTTTGTCCAAAACTTTCACACCAGACATTCATACAGAAGCCACGGCTATCATTCCCAATCTTACTGGAGGGGCGGCCGATTCGTCGACACCTTTAAAGAAACTGTGACAGGGGTGCTAACCTGGGGATTAGCTCAATATAAACTGCACCAATGTCACGTATTAAGGTTCTGCAACTGACAAAAACAGGAATTCTTAAGTTAGCTTCTTTATTCTTCGGCGTCTTGTTCGAAAGTGACAAGAACGGCCGAGGACGCTAACAGAATTCTCTGAACGTTCCTTGACCAACCAAATCATATTTTTCATATGACTTTGAGTAGCGTTTCGGCCACTGGCCATTGGGATCTAGCCTTACTGTGTCAACGCACCTGTTCCGACCTGTCAGCAATAGCTTGGCCTTTGCTGAGATACTGTGACACAATCGAGAGCCCTTAATTGGACAAAGTAATATTATTCCTCAGAGACAATGAAAGTAAATCCTGACGCTAACTGACTAAAAGGCTAACGCTAACAGATAAAAGAGCCTAATACAATGTGAAACACCTTTGGCCGAAAGTTGTTAAGATGTGTTTTCATATAGTTCTTTGATAATGACATACTGAATAAGGTTTTAATGAAGGCTTTATTTGAAAACCTGTCCTAATCCTGACATTATGTAAAGTGTTTGTAAACTGGCTTTGAGAAACAAACTGAGAGAATAACTCTACAATAAATTATTTAAGAAAAATCTAAAGTATCAAAAGTAAATATCCTATATACATTTAGTGTTCATTACCTTTTTAGTATTTTTTTCAGGAAAAACAGTTTAAAAGGTAATGAACATTGAAACAACACTCCCAATCCGTCCTTGCTGTATTCAAACTCCTCTATAAACGTCAGCTCCAACTCCGGCTTGATTTAAGTAACATCTATAGAATAGACTGCCGTCGCTTTTGTGAGTTATTTTCATTTCGTCAATACCAATTTTGTTTCGAGATCACAAAAAAAAAAAATGTTTTAAAATAATTATTTACTTCCTTATATAGATTTTCTGAGTATGCCTTACGACCGTCTTCGGAAATGTAACGTGACTACAACTTTCCCCCTCTCGAATGGGCTTACCCGTGTCGTCTCTCATCATTATGTTAATTTCTTGAAAACGTCTTTGATGGAGAGCTAAGTTATGAAAGGTTTGACATTCTTTACTCACGACGCATACTGGTTTGTCTTTTATGGTGACTATTTTTACCAGCGGGACTTTCGTGTCACCTACCATTTGCTGTTCTACCAACGGACAATATACAGAATAGAATCCCTGTCTGACGACTGCCATGAAATTCTCGTGTGTTTTCCTTCCGAAAATCTTTTCTCGAAAACTAACAATTTCGCTGCTATTTCACTCACGACGATGCGTAAGCCAGCCGATATCGTTAACGTAGCTCTACTGTCGATGTCGTCGACGTTAATTCTGAACATGTCGCGGTGTGTTACCATTCCTGTTGCTCCCCACAGATAGTTCAACAGGCTTTTCACTGTCGGATAATAACCTGCTTTCAAATGCAGTTTTGTCCATACTCCGGGATCGCACTGCACAGAAGCGACGTTTTCACTACCGCCGACGATCATTTCTAACCACAGTTCGCCTTCATACGATGAAAATTAGAAAATATCGACAAGGATGTGTTGGAATGGAAGGACGATGATGGTGACGATGACAACGATGATGACGTTGACTACGAAACCGCTTACGTAAGAAACTCTCAGATTACAAAAGTCAACTTCCCGTCGACCGATAATGGAAAGTTTGAAAACCTGGGCGTGATACAAGACTTCTGATTAACATATCAAAAGAAAAGCTTGTCAAAACAGAATAAAACCAAAAAACACGCACGCAAAAAAAGTTGATCGAGCCTACGGACAATGCGTAGTGAAGAGTCAGAAATTAACGCGAGTGGAAATCGTTTTCTTTTGTCAAATCGTTGTTCTGTCAGTGTAATTGCTTGTAGGACCTTTAATTTAAGTGTTTGCGATCAACAGGTGACGTTGTGGATTGCTTTGCTGAGCAGTAGTATCTATTGCCTAATCCATCCATCACAAAGAAACACGATATTTTACATAACTTCTGCCGTCAGATCGTCTATGACTATCAAGAGCTTGGGCGAAGTGTCCAAATTGTCTACATTAGGTAAACCTTCGTGGAAGTCGACTACTCTTGCCAACGCGTAGAAAGTATGGCATTCTCCGTAACACCTCACGATGCGATCGGGTTATGGAAGTCATCATTTCTCGGATGTTTCTACGTTTTTTTAGGCCATAGTCTTTTCGCTTCCGGTAGGACCAGCAATCAGGCACGTGTAAGTCAAAAACGTCGTCAAAACAAACCCGTCAGCCGAATTACGTACTTTACTATAGCTAAAAACATCAATGACGTCGTCAAAACCAACCCGTCAGTCGAATTACGTACTTTACTATAGCTAAAAACATCAATGACGTCATCAAAATCAACCCGTCAGTCGAATTACGTACTTTACTATAACAAAATACATCAATGACGTCGTCAAAATCAACCCGTCAGTCGAATTACGTACTTTACTATAGCTAAAAACATCAATGACGTCATCAAAATCAACCCGTCAGTCGAATTACGTACTTTACTATAGCTAATACATCAATGAATTCGTCAAAACCAACAAATGAAGACGGGGAGTACTTTGAATCAATGCTCGTGAGTATTGGATTGAAGCAAATGTACACTGACAATGAGTGTCGTGGGCGACAAATTAGAGAGTGATGACGTCACACTCCGCCTCGATGAATACATGTTACTGGGGGGTGGTAGGTTTAGGGAGTTGCCAAAGAGAGAGTCTCCATCTTTGATCCAAGATAATGGAACTATACAAATCCCCTCCCCTCCTTCCGACCTGGTATCGCACTAGGAAAGAGAATTTTTGCAATATGACATATCTGTGATGATCATAAAACTTCCTCAAAATGTTTAACAACTTCGGTATCTGAAAATTTCGTTGTTGTGAAGTTGTCAGTTTTCGACTCCTGGTATCAGGAATAAAACTTGTATATTGGGAAATGTAAACACAATAGGTTAGGGAAGCGGGAAACTGCTATCTATAAACAAACAATTCACAAAAGGAAAATCGAAATCATCACGTTTATCATACAGCTTGATGAAAAACTGTCCCTCTTGGTTTCGTTATGCAAAATCAAGATAAGCGACTACTATAGAAAAAGAAAGTGTTATCACACTGAAATATCACAACATGAACATGGAAGCATAACACCACACACAGTACTATACTGACAACTGACTAAGAGGTCAATGTACATCTCGATCAACAAGCAGAAAACGCTTAGTACCGATTGCATTAATTATTTTGGTATGTTAATGGGTAGGTATGTTGGGTTTTTGACCCATAATTTTCCTCAGCCGGCAGGGCACAAACTGAGACTTTCGGAAAGAAAACAAATCATCTCTGTGAGTTTGAATCCTGTTCTGAATCACTGGTGAGTCTACGCCCAACAACGACACAGCGAAATGGTACTGTGCTAACGAAACCAGTCAAAATCGCATTACTTAGATTACCAAGCTACAACGGCGAATAACGGTTGTCTCCCCTCGTCCATCAATATGACAATAAAAATGTAATATATACACGTGGCCTGCTAAGGAGCTACCACAGACAGTCTTATCTTCAAGATCTCTCATGTTACATTTCTGACATATTATTTCATTTCATGGTGTTTTTTTGTATCTACCTCTCTCTACACGAAGACCATGACGAAGATAACCTAAATTTTGCAAGTATATGCCTCTGGCAAAGATTTTCTACGATTGTACCGAAGACAGTTAACATCTGGTAGATAGGTATACAAAAGCAATTTAGAACAGTTTTTCAAAATAATTATTCAAATTTTGTACAAAAGCATCAATCAAGCGTTGTTCGACGTCGTGAATAAACTGACGTTTACTAAAAAACATTCTGGTTAAACCAGCAAACCGAAAACCTAGAGACATTAATCATGTTTTTTACATTACTGAGCCAGTTTATGTTTGAATCAGATACAAATAACATATCATTATACAATGCTTTCATGATACCATTATCTGTCTCCAATGATTTTAACCAGTACTTAAATGATTCTTATTTTAAGAATTATTGAAAATGATTATCTGACAAGTTCAAAGTAGGCATATTGTTAGGAGTAGATTTTCTCACCTTGAGTAAACGTCTGCAGAAATCTGTATGTATTTTTCCTACATCAGGGGCCGCATGAAAACCCCAAATTTCACAACCGTAGTTCAATACACTAGAAATATAAGAATCAAAAACATCTTTTTCGTTTCAATTTTAGAAAATAATTGATCACATATATAAATTATGCATATACATATTTTCGACCCAGTTGGCCAATAATACTCCGCGTTTCATTAAACGTCTTGTTACAAAATGAAGTGATACTTGAATTATTAAAAGTGTCACCAATTTCAATTTCTTTTTTGTCGTAACACCATCTTCTGTTTTGTGGAAGCTTGCCACAACTTCAGCAAACAACAGTTTTTGTTTTGGACACATTTACTTTTATATTCCATGCAGCACTATGATTATTCAAAGTATTCAACATAGTTTAAAGCCTTTCCTTGACTCAGAGGAGAGATCAATGTTGTCAGCATACATGTCCAATATATAATGATATATCTCTTAATTCAACACATTTATCTGTACTTGAAAACAATTCATTTTCAAAACCAATAATATACAAAGAAAATAGGAAGGGATAAGCATACGCTTGATAATCTACTGTTCATAAAATTATAAAATACGCAATTTTTCTTCCAGTTGAAGTCGAAAATAGAAAGAGAAAATCTAGGAGGGATTTACATTTATATATGTCTCGTTGCCACGGAGCACGAGAGGTCTTATTGTGGAAGGTAACTAGAATGCGTGAGAAAGACCAGGTGGTCGGCTGGTGATGACATACCTCACGTCTGGTGCTGACATCATAATCAATGCATTAACTTTTTTGGTAGACTGTTATTATCTCTCTGTAAATCTACAAGTTTTAGAATATTGAATGGACGTCACCCGTGATCACCCTGATGGAAGTGTTACTTGTTTTAGTTCAGTTGGCACCAGTCTTATTGATTATCTTTTCGTTGACAGAAAAAAATATAAATCATGTAACAGAATTTATTGCGGGTAATTTTATATCTTTGTCTGATCACTCACCTGTATGATTCAAATTGAAACAAAACCTTAACCCAGAGGAAGATTTACCAGGTAGTCAGGATAGATGCGTGTGTGAAAATGTAAACTGGAGGAAAGATAATATTAATTCTACTAGAAATATCTTAGGTGACAATTCTGATTCATCAGTCGATATCCTAGCTTTGCCTTTATAAAATAAGTCAGAGGTTGAAGTATATATTCATCAATATTGTTCGTGTTTTAATGGCGTTTGTGTCATTTTCATAGATGTAAATCATCCATATCTAATAACGGTTTTCGTTTAACTTAACATGTCAGCAGAAATATAGAGATTATAAAGATACGGTACGTAGATTATAAAGATACAATACGTAGGTTATAAAGACACATTACGTAGATTATGAAGATACAGTACGTAGATTATAAAGATGCAGTACGTAGATTATAAAGATACAATACGTAGATTATAAAGATACAGTACGTAGATATAAAGATACAATACATAGATTATAAAGATAACTATAGAGATACAATACATAGACTATAAAGATGCAGTACGTAGATTATAAAGATACAATACTTAGATTATAAAGATACAATAAGTATATTATAAATATACAATACCTAGAATATAGAGATACAATACGTAGGTTATAAAGACACATTACGTAGATTATGAAGATACATTACGTAGATTATAAAGATACAGTACGTAGATTATAAAGATACAATACGTAGATTATAAAGATACAGTACGAAGATTATAAAGATACAATACATAGATTATAAAGATAACTATAGAGATACAATACATAGACTATAAAGATGCAGTACGTAGATTATAAAGATACAATACGTAGATTATAAAGATACAATACGTATATTATAAAGATACAATACCTAGAATATAGAGATACAATACGTAGGTTATAAAGACACATTACGTAGATTATGAAGATACAGTACGTAGATTATAAAGATACAGTACGTAGATTATAAAGATACAGTATGTAGATTATAAAGATGATAAACTAAATATATTATAAAGATACAGTACGTAGATTATAAAGATGACACAGTGCGTAGATTATAAAGATACAATACGTGGATTATAACTATAAAGATACAATACGTAGATTATAAAGATACAGTACGTAGATTATAAAGATACAATACATAGATTATAAAGATACATACGTAGATTATAAAGATACAATACATAGATTATAAAGATACAGTACGTAGATTATAAAGATACAATACATAGATTATAAAGATACAGTACGTAGATTATAAAGATACAATACATAGATTATAAAGATACAATACATAGATTATAAAGATACATACGTAGATTATAAAGATACAATACATAGATTATAAAGATACAATACATAGATTATAAAGATACAGATTATAAAGATACAATACGTAGATTATAAAGATACAGTACGTAGATTATAAAGATACAATACGTAGATTATAAAGATACAATACGTAGATTATAAAGATACAGTATGTAGATTATAAATATACAGTACGTAGGTTATAAAGATACAATATGTAGATTATAAAGATACAATGCGTAGATTATAAAGATACAGTACGTAGATTATAAAAATGACACAGTACGTAGATATGCTGAAATATCAGTGACAGAAATGAGATATGATGGAATAACAGCGACAGGAGGGAGATATGATGGAATATCAGTGACATGAGGGAGATATGATGGAATATCAGTGACAGGAATGAGATATGATTGGATATCAGTGACAGGAGGGAGACATGATGGAATATCAGTGACAGGAGGGAGATATGATGGAAAGACAGCGAGAGGATGGAGATATAATGAAATATCAGTGACAGGAGGGATATATGATAAAATATGTGTGTCAGGAGGGATATATGATGAGATATCAGTCACTGGATGGAGGTTTGTTGGAATATCAGTGACAGGATGGATATATAATGGAATAACAGCGACAGGAGGGAGATATGATGGGATATCAGTGACAGGAGGGAGATATGATGGAATATCAGTGACATGAGGGAGATATAATGGGATATCAGTGACAGGAGGGATATATGATGGAATATAAGTGACAAGAGGTAGATATGATGGAACATCAGTGTCTGGAGGGAGATATGATGGGATATCAGTGACAGGAGGGAGATATGATGGAATATAAGTGACATGATGGAGATATGATAAAATATCAGCGACAGGAGGGATATATGATGAAATAGGAGTGTCAGGAAGGATATATGATGAGATATTAGTCACTGGATGGAGGTTTGATGGAATATCAACAACAGAACGGATATATGATGGAATATCAGCGACAGGAGGGAGAAATGATGGAATATCAGTGTCAGGAAGGAGATATGATGGGATATCAGTGACAATAGGGAGATATGATGGGATATCAGTGACAATAGGGAGATATGATGGAATAACCGAGATAAGAGGGAGACATGATGGGATATCAGTGACAGGAGGGAGATATGATGGAACAACAACGACAGCATGAAGATATGATGAAATATCAGTCACTGGATGGAGGTTTGATGGAATATCAACAACAGAACGGAGATATGATGGAATATCAT